TAGGNTCATCCACTGACCCGTCCATAACATACCCGATGCACCGACTAAGAGGTATTTTTTTTACAAAAAAAATAACTCAAAAATTAGTATGTAAATTATACAAAGTTGGCCTGGTCGTCCATTGTTTGGAGGTCATTTTCACATGTGCTTGTGAGAGATGGATGCAAGTACAGCTAACTCCCGTTTTAGAGTTCCAAGAACAGTGGAAGAAGAGTCTGCTTTAGTCAGTGAAGCTAGACCAAGTAGCACATAGTACAAAGATAAGTGGGCAGTGGGAATTTTTCAAGAACGGCAAAGGATGGGAACACTGAAATTTCCAGATTTAGAAGTTGGAAGCGTTTTCAAAGATTACGATTTTCACCTCGTGTGTTCTGTCGAAGACAATCTGGAGTACATGGATGCTTTATCGTTCAACTACTGGCTTGTGAACGCTGTATGGTATTAAATGCAGTCTAAAGAGGCATTTAGAGAGGGTGAAGGGCACATCCGCATTCAATCGTTTGGATTATAAGGACAAGAGGTAGACATGTGCATATAGAAGTGACCAGTGTTTGTCTTTATTTTAAATCCAACTTTTACGATAATTAAAAAATGTTTCACTGTATTTAAAAGGTTCGAAATATTTTGCCGCGTACTGGACACTGAGATGAAAGATGGCACGTGTGCTGGTGTGGCCCTTCAGACAAAAAGAGAGGAGAAAGAAGCAGTATCTGACGAAGACAAACAGTTGTTTAGGAGGAATATTGAGATTTTTGCTTTTGTTATTGTAATTTTGATATAAACGCACATGTGTTTTGACATCAAAACACAGTGTGTTTTCATCTGTTGTTCCATTGGGTATCAAGATGCATCCACCTGACCAAAATAGACATCATTTATTGGCTGGTCACTCATGAATTATTAATGAGTTTGAGAAGAATGTGAGGAACAGTGTCAGCTAATTAAACACCTTTGTCTGAATAGAGTCCACTTGTGTGTTTAAGTTTGTTTTTTTTTCCTTTTCTGCTTCTTGGTTAGTCCTGTGCACATTGTATTTTGTATCAATTATTGAAACCTACTCAGTTTTTGGCAACATGTGTAAGGATATAATTATAATAATTTTCGAAATATAGCAATGCATGAAACATACAAAAAAGCACAAGGTGCCTACTGATGAGTACTATTATTTTGTCAAATTTCAAGTATACTTTAAAATCAAATTACAAATATAATAGAAATAGTACAAAGTTTGCATTTGATACAATGGCCCAGTACTGGAATGTGATCCTAACAACCAACATAAACAAGTCTGACAATTGAACAGAAAATGCCTTAACAGATTCAGTCCAGAATTGCTATGAAAAAAGATATTTCATCCAATTCACAATGCTGATCCTTTGTTAATTCTCCATCTATAATTTTCCCATTCTACTCGCTTTCTTATTCACTTGATGATATCCCTGTTCAGTAATAAATATGACATATTGCGTTACAACACTTATCTTCTTTCCTGCATCTTCATTATCTATATCTTTGATCTATAATGCACTTTTTTTAATTAGCTTTTTCCTGTATTACTTCTAGTCATCAGATGGCAAAGGTTTTCAAATTGCAAGTCTGACTATGTATGCATTGCATACCTATTTTATACAAGCTGTAACCTCCTGTGCATGAGTATAGGCTACTTGGAGCCTCTTATTAAAAATATCTTGAAAACACACACTCATCAGCTCATTTATGTTGGGACTCTAGACAGAATTCGACTTAAAAGGTTTATCCCTATTGAAGTCCATCCCTACCTAAGGTATAGGAAAGCATTATCAGTTTCTGTAAAGGAATATCAGAGAGAGTATTATTTTCTAAAAAAATGCTATGTGATTCGATCAGGAGTCCTCATTGGTATTAAGACTCCGACCTAATTGCATTCAAGTCAGTTGACGCTTATTAGCTCCAAAGAACCTTTGATTTAAACACTTACATCATGCACATGAGGTAAAGTTAAGGGAGAAATGAAAAGGCCTGAAATTCAATTTTGTGGATAAACAGACTGGATAACCACAAAACAAAACCTTTCAAATCTACTGTATTGCAGTTTTTTTATTGCTAAGCCGTCAAAAATCAAACTGTTTTCTCGCAAAACACTGTTAAAGAAAAAATCCTTAATCCCAAGATGAAGATGTTTGTATAACAGGAATATTGTGTGATTGATCTTCTGGAAGTGGCAGCGCAAGTGCCGCAAATTTTCATCTTATCTCTAATAAATAATCTAAATTGCATATATCAAATCAAAAGTGCTAATCGTTTCTGGATTTCACGGCTTGTTTTGGCATTGTTACAAAATTAAGTGTGGATAATTTGCATAAGATAAATGCTAGCATTCTTGTTGAAGCCCAGTTCATTTCGATGAACTTTAAATCTACCAAATAAAACCACAGCTATTGGTCTTATGATTTTGCCTTTGGGAAAGCAAAGCAGGGTTTTTCTTGGTTCGTTGAATTTTGCAATAAAGGAATCTTTATTATATATAGATCTTGAATTACTTTTATTGTAGAAATTTTAAGTGCTGTTAAGGGAGTTTTTATAGCCAAATATATAACTGGTTATAAACATGCCTCCTAAATAAGCTCAATGAATTCGAGTTTCAGAAAACATTGCTTGTTTTCTTTTTCCTTCCTTGTTGCTTTGGATCGAGCTCATTTGCACTTCAAGATATATTCAAGAACACTTTTGCATCAACAAAAAATCTTACATAACAAAAATATTGTTCCAAAACACGGGCTTGAGCCTGAATGAATTTGTGTTTCAGGAAGAGATATTTTCCCATTTTTGTTTATTTATCTGTTTTCTTTTGCATGGGTACATTTTGAACATTTTAAATCCCCTGCTTTCAAATCATTGCCTGATCTTAAGTAAAGTTCTTTTATTTTGCATTTGAACACAGTGCTCTTCTTTGTTGATATGTGGCCACCATATTCACCCTTCCCCTGCTCTTCGTCAAAGTCAAAGTTGGACTCAAAGATGGAGAAAATATCGTTCATAAACACACTCAGTTACCGGTAATAAACATAAGGCTGTACAAAAAATTTGCCACTTCAAAAATTCCACTGAGTTACATTTGTTTCAGAGCAAGTCCTGCAAGAAGTGGATCTTGAGTTTGAAATTTGAAATTTTTTCATAATGGCAGCCAGTCAAGTGAAATTTGGTTTTAATCACCTTTCAGCAAGGAAGACTGGTATACAATTATGATTAACAAGTACATTTGCTGTAAGATAAGATTATTAATCTGAAATTTTACAATAATTAGTAACTGTTAAAGCTGGGAACTCTGCTTATTAATTGCAGATCTTACAACAATTATTAACAACTGGACCAGAAGTCAAAACATTATCGGATAATATTTTTGTATTATGTGTTATCAATCAGTTAAAGGATTACATGTAATTATAAAAGTCTTACCAGAATTAAGATGTCCCTTGCTTGACTGATTTTATTTAATACTATGCAACTTAGCACTTCAGAGGTCCAATCTCGTGGTAAACGTTCAAAGATACTGCAACATCAAATTCAACAACATCTTTAAAGACTTCTTTCTTGAAAGGCTTTAATCTGGGTCATATCTCTTGAGACACAGTAAGGGTAAGAAGTCCTAAACTGCTCATACCATTCAACTTGTTATTTTCTCATTTGAAAGTCTACAAAAAGGAAGTTCTCCAAAAATATTTTTCTTTTTGAACCTAACATGAACTTTTTTATGATTGATTTAAAAACATTGTTCACAAATTAGTCATCATTTTGGTACAGCAGGCGATAATGAGAGGACATCAAGATAAAGAATCCTATTGGATACCTGTAATGAGATTGAAAATTTACACTGAAAAATCACTCTGGCCCCGTGAAAGGTAAAAGTCTCTGGCTTAGGCAGTAGTGCCTCCTTTTGTATGCTTCTCACCCCCAGGAGTTCACACAGCCATTTTTTCTTGCAGTTATCTTTCACCTAATGTATGATGGACTAAGTGAAAGAGGGACTACCCATAGTCTACTTACAAGCCACACAAACATTTAAATCAATAAAAGGTCACACAAATCCTTGTCATCGATTGGTCATTGACTGTCAATATCATATCACGTAGCCAAGTGTGAAAAAAAATAACAAAATAAAATTGTACAAGGAAGGTGATAAAAGAATACTGCCTTAAACAGCAGCAAATAAGACAAATACATAACAATGGTCAACCTAAAATACAGTACACTGTACCTTGAAATAACTTTCCTCATTGGATTTCTCGAGTCACATTCCACAAACATTTCAGCCAGAACAGCTAGGCATTTGCAAATACTGTCACATGGCAGTTTGGTCCCACTCGCAACTTGAAGAAGACTTTCAGCCTAAAATATTTCACAGGTTTCATTTAGAAATTAAAGGGACCTCTGTGCTATCTTAAGTAACTTTTCCCATCAATAATTTATTCAGGCTGCAAAGAAACCAATATTTGGTCTGGCTAAGCAGGCTTTATCTACGATCTACTTACTCAAAATTCATTCTCCCTAGCCCCCAAAACATTTCCTAATAGCATGATTAACTAATTTATAAACTGACATGATAATATTTAATCTCTTGTGGTACTTTTCCCAAATAAATTTTCTAAAAAACTTCACTTGCCTGTCGGGCAAGCAGAGTATAGAATTACTCCGCCATATTTTGCATTGTTGTTTAGTTCCCGCCATTGGCTCGCATAGCATGATGCATTGTGCATGCTGTCGTTTAGTTTGCTCCATTGTTTAGTTAGCCTCATGGCCTCATGGCCTCATGGTTAACGCATAATTAGCTTGGTACCTTTGTTACTGCTTTTGCGTGCTTCATTTGTATTCTATTTCCTTCTCGTCCTCGGTTAATAAATGTGTTCTCTCTTGCTCAGAGTTTCGGCTCAACTTATTGGTGTGGTGGCAGCGCCACATTTCCAAAGAACCCACAGAGACAAGGACATCAAAGTGTTCTTCGATTTTAGCTGCCTCTCTGAGCAACCAAACCGGAATTCGTGAACTGTAGTGATGACTTCCCGCAGAGCACCGAAACAGAGGTCACTTTCTTTGAATGAAACTATCACTTTGATCGAAGCGTGGGAAAACAATTTAAAGACCATCCTGTCCCTCGATCCGAACTTTGCAGACTTTCTTACTGATAGATCGTCTTGGGGTAAAAAAAAACAAATGCTACGGCTCTATGTGGTTTCTCCAATGATCCTGAATCTGTTCCACTGGCAAGAAGAACGACTGCTGCTCAAAAGGTAACACATTTGGAAATGATGCTCAGCCAAATTGCGAATTATGCCCCTATTATTTCCCGGAACTCAACCATCAAGAATTCTACATCTATTAGCCGCGTTTGGCAAACGATCCAACAGCATTATGGCTTGCAGTTAAATGGTTAATTAATCCATTGGGCAACATAACAGACTGAAATTTCAGTCCGTGTACTCTCGTGTCCATTATACACAACTCTTTGTCCAGTACCAGGTCTTGAAATTGGCCGAAAAGTCCCATCTATAAAACCAAAGCAGTTGTCCAGTGGTGCACCTTTCCTTGATACTGCTTCAGCATGTAATTTTTTATCACTGATGTAAATTTTTAATGTAAATTTTATTTTTAATAACATTTTTTACTGTAAAGCGCCATGAGCCCTGGATATGGCGCTATACA